AAAAAAAAAATACAATTGCATACCTTTAGAGGTACAACAGCTTGTCAATGGGGCATCACCCTTAAAAGGACATATCGGTACCTAATCTACCCCTCGAAAGTGCATATTAGTAATAGGTACCTTTAAAGTAGTAGTAAATAATAGTAGTAGTAATAGGTACCTTTAAAGTACTACTATGAAATTTTAAAGGTAAAAAGTTCAGGGAGCGCCTGAGTGACAAGTTGTTGTACCCCTAAATCGACAAGTTTGTACCTTATCTCCCCCTAAAAGGTGTATACCTTAGAGTTGAACTAGATACCTTTAAAGCACTACTACAAACATTTTAAGGGTAAAAAAGTACCCCTAAATGTACAATGTATGCACATTTTTTTTCTGAGAGTGTAGAGACTCTTTCTTTTGAGAAACTTGGCATGCCATGCAGTCTTTTTTATGGTCCCAAAGTTTCAACAAATCAGAAGAACTCTCCTCTGGACTTGAGTTTGAGAATCTCTGCCGCCAGCTGCTGCGCATCTTTCAGCTGCGGGAACATTTCCATAACTTTGTTTACATGATGCGGGTTAAAAATTGCATGAAGATTTTTCCTGACCTCCTCTCTTTCTTCCTGGAAAGCGTTGGACTGTGGCATGGCTGAGTGCTGCTGACTTCCATAGACATCAGGAGACCTGTGCGAGCTAGGACAGGGTAAAGGTTCGGGTAAACTGGTTGCCTGTGGTGAGAAGTAAGGGTAAGGCCAGGCACCGTAAGCAGAAAGACTGTAACGCTGGACGGGGTTGGGCAGAGGTAGGGAGCTGTAGGCACCAAAGTTGGGCTGATAGTTGGAGAAATGACTCATGTTGTCATAGTAGTGCTGGCCACCTGCAGGTACACCAGGGTTACCAGACATCGGTGGATGATTGGATCTCATCCTATACAACTCATCAATGCTCTGGGATGGATCTGAAAACTGGCTTTGGTAGGATCCAAGCCCCGAGTCAGAACTGAAAATGGACGAAGGGTTTGTTGGGTAAGGTGCTTGCAGACTGGTTCTGTCTACCGAAGCCCTGCGTTGTGCCACTGTGGCTGTATTTAAGGGCTTTTTGGTGGACATAATGTCATCCCAGTACTGGAGCATAACATCCCTGCTGTCAGAGCTCTTGGGATCCAAGTTGAGCTTTTGTTCCAGTTCTTGCTCCAAGGAGGGTGAGCTGGACCCAAAACCAGGGTCATTTCTTGGGTACATGCCTCTTAGTGGCCCAGTTACTCTGCTTTCCTCTTTTGAACCAGACAGTCTGGCATTCTCTCGAAGCTCATCGGCTAGAGAACGCTGTGACTGGTTTGTGCGCTCTGGGTGGTAGAACTTACACTTGATCCCATATGTGCACTTTTTTCCTGAAGAGTAAAAAGACAAATGTGTAATAAGGTATACTTCAGGAATGTGCAACATTCTGGAGGGTCATGGTCCTGAGTTTAGTTCTATCCATAATCATAGATACCTGTCTGTAGATTTCTAGCAACCCTGGAGACATAGGTTCGATTTTTCAGGTGTGTTTGATTAGGGATGTAACTAAACTCTGCAGGACAGGTGACCCCCAAGACCAGATTTGCCAGATCTTTGGTCTACTTCAGAGGTGTCCTGGAGAGCCACAGTCCTGCAGATTTTTGCTCCAACCTTGATAAAATCTCAGCTGTAGCTTTCTAGTAAACCTTGACTTAGTAGTAACCTTGATTAGCTTGTTCAGGTGTGCTTGATTAGGGTTGGAGCTA